TAATCTAGGCTCCGGATTTGAAAAGGCAGCACAGTCTGAGCTACTTCCGAAGACAGTACAGCTTATCCATGTCTAAAAGTAGTTTTTATACCTACTTGCAGAAAAGGTCGAATACTAGGAGCAAAGATATTTCCAGTAAGGCACTAATGACAACGTGACTGAAGTATGTTTGTTTTGAGGAATGACTGATTGTTTGATGAATGGAAATGAACCACGAGACAGAAATGGGGGAAAGAAAAGGAAGAGGGAGTATCTCATCCCATCGTGCCATTAGTGAATAAGTAACAAGTAGCTATTTATAGCATTGTAGTGGAATCCTCTTCGCTAAACAATGTAATACTTGATTAGTGCCGTCTATCCACCTACCAGCGATCACTCCGTATGCGGTGGTTTCAAAGCCTACCGCCGTCATTCATCCAGACCGTGGGGCTTTGACTTAGGGCAATCAACGATTCTCTCACCCATTACCTCAACCAAGTTTCTAGTGAAGGACATGGAAGTTGAGTCTCATCTAATAGACATCTTTGAGTTTGCCGGTCTGACTTCAGTCCACCTTGACACTGCATTACTACACAGCTTTCAGCTCCCCAGTACGGTTACAACAAACTTTTTCCAGCCACATCTACTTGATAGCTTTGCTTGGAAAAGCCTCATTGGTATGTAAGTAAATTCAGCAAATAAAAAAGCCCAAAGGTTGTCTCCAATATGACCCTGTGATTTTTGTGCGAGTATTTGGTGGGAATTTTTTTATGCTTTTATGACCCGCGTTTAAGGCGGTTGAAAAATGGCCGAGATCAAAGTCGCCACGCTTGCAATAGAAGGGAACAGACAGTCCACTGACCACTTTATTACCGCCGCGACACGAGCTCCGCCTAACGTAGTCAACAGACTGTGACAACACGCATTTCGTCCGCACCGATAGGTTGCATTACTCATCAGATAGAATGGTAAGATAACAAAATATCAAAAACTGTGTGACAAATTTTGTGAAAAAATGAGTAAATTAATGACATAATTTTTGATGGCTTATTGCAGGGCCCCTAGTCCTCTCCAAGTCGAAAGAAGACGGAGAATGCACTACCGAAGTACAGAAGTGCTGAGAGTCTCCTGCCACGATCCGAGGGTAATGCCGCCCAGTGGGAATACAACGGCCGAGCCGTAGGTGCCCTCCTAACCATGATAAAGCGTTAAACAAACTTGTTTACTCGCATCTCAGAAAAACCTGAACTTCAGGTCTTTTCAAAACGATTAGTTGCCAAATCCGATATTTCTGCAATAAAAGTAGAAGTAATTCTTGAACACAGTAATAAAGACTAGTTTTTTGGATTAAAAGAATAGAAGTTAACAATAAATTGGGCGTCTAACTTAATGATTTTAAAAATCTGGGCACAGAAGCTGAAAAGTAGAGGCCAACCGTCGCTGGATTTGCACTTGATAGAATTTCTAGGTTCGGAAGCAGTCGCAATGTGCTGTAGATCCCCCAGACTAACCACCTGTTTACAAGCGAAGATTCCATACATAGGTTATCGCTAACCAGCCCCAGTCAGAACTATATATACTGTAGAGCGAGACTCACAGGTCTCCACTTCCCTGTTCCTAGTGCCCTTATAACAACCCACTGGATTTAATTTCGACATTTATTAGGGGGAAGTGAATTGGGAGAACAAGTACAAGGTTTAGAGAGGGGAAAAACCGCAACCGCACCCAGGCACGGGAGACAACGACCCTGTCACCAGACTCGAATTACAACCTTGCCTCCCTTCCAAAAGGTACATTAAAACAACATAAGTATTACAATGCAGTAGATTTTGCTACGTAAAATGTGAGCGGCCTTAAAAAAGAAGGAGACCTGCTTTTAGGTAGCACGAATCGCTACTTGGACAGAATAAAGTGCTACATGAAGGGTGAAATAAATTAAAGGCAATTACACAAACATAAATCCATTCGGGGTTCCAAATTCTGTCGTCAACACCACATCAGGGTTCCTAAAGTGCGATATTACCGAATTTCTACTAAAAAGGATGATGGAGTTAGTCATGGGACCCTTAGCTTCATCCAGCTTCTACTAAAGCTGTAAAAGCATATTCACATGGTACCCAGAAATCATTCTCAAGAATCGTTCACTCTTAATAAACTTCATTGCCACAATTATTATAATGGTAGGGCCGTACTTTAATATTAATATTATGTTTCCATAAACAGCCAATTTTTATAAGGAGTATTAAGTATGAAACTTATTTTAAGAGTTGCCCGATCGAAACTACTTGTATCATGGGTTTGCTTAAAAACAACTTTATGGGTGACAAGTAAACCGGCCAGAAAAGCCTCATGGCTGAGAAGGCATCACTAATCCCAAGAAGCTAAGCACTAGCTTATCCAAATGCTTATTACTTGTCAAATCTGACATAAGAATGGCTTCCCTAAACAGAATTCTCTGTTCAAGAGCGTGAAACAGGCGTTCAGAGCGATTGCATAATAGCCCAGCTAACCAAATTAATTATCCCGAATCGGCCCTTAAGCAAAACGGTCATGCACTAAAAAGTGTGAATCATAAAGCCAAGCGCTGTAATGGCAAAAGATTCTAGACAGATTAGGGAAACAATTTGCAAGAAAAGACAAGGGTTTGTGACAGAACAAAAGTAAGGCAATTTTTAGTAACTCCAGCTAAAATCCGAATTGTATTTAGTAAATGTTGTGTATATTGTTGATACTACTTCCATTACTAGGAGTTGAGAATGCACATTTAAACCATCGCCCGTTATTATTACTGGCGAACTTGCACATTTGCTAGAAATGTATCTTCCGCAACATAAGTTGTTTAAAAGACAAAGACTTTTTCTTGCATCAAAATATATTTAATCTGTAAAACCGCACTATGTTGGTATTCAAAGATTCGTGTTCTGTGTTTGTTTTAGTTTTCTTGCCTCGGTGAGCTCTTCAATATCACTGTCAGTGCTTATGACACCTGCCGCTGGGTGTAATGGAACTGAAGGCTTCACGTGAAATATTTTTGTCACATTTCTGCCTTTTTTTCATATAATTATATTTTTCTACCATGTCGGATTCTCAATTTGCCACCTTAGGGGGCGCAATGCCTCCCAAGTGTCTGCCTTCTCCAAGAACAGTAGCTCGTGTAGCCTCAAATAATCACCGATCTGGTGGCGTTGGTAGTACGCCCTTTTCTATTCGCCGGAGATTTCAGCGCTTTGACCCAGTTTCCGATTATTCTGAAGCAAACAATACAAAATCCTCCTCTCCATCGTCTCGTTCGTCATCTCGCAATTATCCTATTACGCATCCTGCTTGTGACCCGCCTCTATGCTCAGTAGGTGTAGAACTTCGTCTTCCATTATTTACTTACTTTGCTGGTTATTTATGTTGGTCTCTGGCTCCAAAGAAATCAACTGCTTGTGTAAATTCCTAACATTGGTTTTTGGTATTTGCCTCCCAGGTTTTTGTTAGTGGTTATTTTTCATATTTTCTTTTTTGTCCGGTTTATTGCTTTTTTGCCCCTTCGTGTGTTATGTGCTTTTTTCCAATTTTTTGTTCGGATATCACGTAAAGCCTTTTTTCTACTGATATCCACTTGGCTCATTGTTCCATCTGCCGCCCTTCACTTGCTATCACTGACAAAATAAAAGCGCTTTTTTGTTTTCAGTTGTGTACTTGATCTTTTTATCTCCTGAAATAAATAGGATGCCATTTAACGAATCCAGGAAATACATTTAGACCGTTCTCGCCTTGGATTGCTTCGTGGTGTTTCATCCCTCATTTGCATTCACCTCATGGGTGGATTGTGTGCACACAGCATATATGTGCTGCCAAAAACGGTACACATTATTTGCTTTGAAAACGACATTACGGATCCAATTTTCCGTATCCAAATAAGCGTTTTTCGTATTATACGTCGTATTTACCGAATCTTCTTCGTACACTGTCTTCTCTTTTGTTTCCTCCGGCACAAATCCTACCGCTGCTAATTACATTGGTATCCTGCCTCATTTGTCTAGTTAGCCCGGCTTCAGTATATGCACTACAGTTTTAAGAAGCAAAGAATCGCTGACAGAAGTCGACTGCTTTAAGATTTTGTGATATTATTAACAACACCGTGTTATAAGCACGATTTGAATTAGACACGGCTGCTGTTAGCATACTCCTTTTGAAGTTCCATACTATTTGCGTAATCTATAATAATATCTTCAATTTCTCACCTATTCACATCGGCTTGTATTTAAAGCGATCTCTCCCCACTCTGTGTCTAATTACTTCGTCGCAATTACAATCTTCTTGTTTTTGGTATTATCCTCAAGCCTTGCTCATTTAATCTATCCTACTTAATTTTGAAATTAATTTACAAAGTGCATGATTTGCGGAACTTTCTCGTTTGCTTAACGGACTGCCTTTTAATTTACTCCTTTTTTCTTCTTAATTTTAAAGTTCCGCATCCCATGAAATCCTGCTTCATTTTATGCCCTCAGTACCAGTCTTGCCGCTCTTAATTGTCCCCAACGCGCTTTCCTCAGATTTCCTCATTTTAAAACCAAACCGCAATCTGCATGGGTGAATGTATTTGGAAATCCTGTGGCTGTCACTCCTTTGGTTTCATCAGCGTCATCACAACATTTAAACCGTACTCAGTTAGTGTTTGAATGTTGAGGGATTCGTTGAATTTAGATCGAACTTTTAACACAGCTCCCATTTAGCACCTAGTAGTTTCTTTTACAGGCTACCCCTCTATCTGCAAAGCCACCTTTCCCAGATGCTATTCGAGTGGATTTTTCTCCAGTGGAATAAAGTGGTATTTTTATCTGCGTTTTCGTGCCTTAGTTTACGTCTGCTCTGTTGCGTAGGATTGTCGACAGTTCGACGCCAGATTCTCTCATTATTCCGAAGACGCCAACGCTACTGGTGAAACCGGCAACGAAGAACCCGATTTTAGGCTTCTGCTTGATCCAGACCGCCCTCTTACTCCTGACTACAGCGAAGAAGACATTGTCCGCATGATGCTGACAGCAACGGCTGCGAATAGCGGTAGCGGAGGTGGTCGTTTGCGTGGTGCATGGTGGTGCGACAAGTGCATTGCTCTTCTCTCCGCTCCTGACGTCGGAATTGGCAATCTCTTTGCTCTGCTGCGTCAATGGACGCCCTCAACTCAGCTCCAGTTGGACACAATCGTTATGGAGGTAAAGTCATTCTTCAGGAAATTTGATTTTATTACCTGTTAGATAGCCAACTATTTTATATCTGTTCGATATTGACCTAAAATAGGTGGTTTGGCGTTCATAAAGCCTCCCCGAAATGATTGGCATTAGTTGGTACGGAACCGTTTATGGCCTTAGTTTCACATTCCTTGCATGTGGCGTGTTTTAGTTGAGTGTCGAGTCGTCGCCGAAGAATTGGTAAGGCGTCATAGTATGGGAAATTTATTAGTAACGAATAGGCGATAGGAATGAACGAGATGCCGTGGTGACAAGTCCATTGTCTAGCCTCTATTTTTACTTCCACTTCGACTTTCCCAATTGATTTTGGGTATGAACAAACTTTTGCATCATTAGCTTTAAACTACTTTCAGTTGTATTTTTGCCATGTTAATTTTCCACTTTCAATCAGTAGCGGCACGGGCTTCCATATTATTATCAAGACCAGCGAGTCCTTTGGGCTGCTATGGATCTTTGATTCATCAGCAAAATTATGCTGTTTTGTCATGGTGCTTTTTTTCAGATGCTCTACTTGTTTCAGAACCGTAGTAGCTATCCATCAAGTAACTGGACTGACGGTTTTTCGTGGTGTTGCAGATTCTAAAACGCGGTGCTCACGTGGATGACAGAGATGGAACGACTGATATGACTCTTCTCCATTACACTGCAAAATCCGGTGCTCTTGGGAACGAGGATCTTGCTTGCAAGTGAGTGCTGTCTTCAATCTTTTATTTACATCATGTAGACGAACCATATAAACGCCTTCCATGCTTTGCCAAGGGGGTTGAGGATGTTCGTTTGAAGGTTCAGAGCTAACATTAGCTCCAGAGTTAATATATCCTAGAAGAAGTATTGATGATTGAAGCCTTGTTATTACAGTAGCATGCTGCTCAATCTCATCCTGTTTTGAGTGGTCTTTATGGCACTCGCTTCGACTAATGTCGCAGCCAATTCGAAGGTATTCAATTGGTGTTATGTTCCCTATAACCCAGGAACGAAGATTACACCATAGTTTTTGTCATTGTGAGAGGGCTTGTGTTTTCAATCATTGTGATGTCTCGCGTATTTCGACATGGTTCATCCGCCGTGGTCTTTATTGACAGATTCATTCCAAAAAAGACTACTTAAGAGGTACTTCTCAGTGGTGGACGGCGTTGTGTACTGAGTTAGTTTCTTAGGCGAGCTTGCTCTACAGCAGAACCTCGGATAATTTTTATGGTTATTCTTCATTTCCACTTTTTTATGTCGCTCAAGTAGTGAGACGACATAACACCCTACTTTGCTCATACTTGTTCGTTAGTAGTAACATCGGAAGCGCTTTCGGCGAATAATTTTTAGCCTTTTAGGTGCTGATCGTACTGCATTACTAACCATGATACGGAAACATAAAATCGGAGTAGCCATAGCATCGTCCTCTCGGAGATTCATTTAGACGCATCCATTCCTCGAAGCAATGCCGTAAGCATCGTCAGCCTTTATGGGGACCAAAGTGAATGCGTTTTTAAGCACAAGCGAATGGAGGGTGTGAATTGTAGAGGATGTTTTCGGGTCTCTATCAAATAGAATGAATTGATAGCCTTGTCTCTGTCTCAGTACGATCAATCTCTCCGACCGTCCAGACACGATCTCCGTTCTTTGTCATTTCGTCCAGCTGCCTGTGGTTGACACCAGCTTTTACCATCTTTGGCTGGGTATTTGATTATGATCTCCGGGACGTTAGCAGAAGTTTTTTGAAGCTGATCTCATTGACCGTTACTCACTTTCAGCAATCTTGTATTTCTTCTCTCCTAGCCCTTTTATTTCATTTGATCTGCGTTTGTTCCTGACTTTAAACTCAACCACAAAAAGTGGGTATACTTCTCTTTGCCAGCGTTTTTTTGAATCCCTCTAAATTGCGTCCGTTTGAGTTGTCCAGATAATAATAATTTCAATTAGGTGGATTTTTATCCCTCCTTCACTCCTACTTTTCCAAGAAAATATTCACATTTAGTAAATTGTCCAATCTCTGAGTTAGATGTTTCTTTTGTTTCAAAATTAAAATTAATGCTGTTATGCTTTTTTACTTTCATTCCTTATGTCTCCACCCCTGAGTAGCGGTACTTCCTCCAGTGAATATGATGATTAATAACTTAGGGGCTCCTTGAATTTCTGCATAAAACCGGATGTGTTTGCTTTATACAGAAAAGGCAGAATCACTTCACATTATAAATTGTATGCACTAAGCCATAATAAGTGCAGAAGTAATCACCAGTACAATCCGTCATCTTCTCTCAACGGGACAAAAGCTGGCTAAGAATCCCACTTTAATAAAACACTTTGTTTCCCTAGCTCTAGCCACTCCTGTTGTGATCACACTTATCTCCGAATGGGGTGGGACTGATTAATTACCGGCTAGGTGATCTTATGGGTTGGACACGTAGCACCTGGGAGTACTTGAGTCAAAATCACTCTCCCTCCACCCCTGTTAAAGTGAAAATCCTCACACGGGTGAGCTTTGGAGCATGATGCATGGGGTCTTCCTTTGTGTTGTGCAATACGATTATAAATTTTTTTGGATGTTTTGAATTGTGTCGCTTGGGTGGATCTTAGTTGCTGCTCCTTTTTTGCCTTCACCGATACATCCACACTGAACAACACTTCCGTCGGGGTGATAAAATTATTCGAAAATTTGGAGCTTTATTTCCATTATAACTTTTCTCAGCCTAGTATCCGCCCCAGTGAATGCAGTTATTAATATCCCAAGGGCTTTTTAAATTTAATTTTATAGCTGATCTAATAAAATTAAGGCGAACTAATGCAGTTTGATATCCCTTCGACGCATCTCTCGGTGACAATCTGATAAGTAAAAACCAAATTACATTTAAAATTGAATAGGAAGTAAGAAAAAAACTAAAAGTGTCAAGAATTGGTTCATAATACCCATCTTCATCGATCTAGGGACGTCAGGGCTCAAGAATACCCTGTTTAGTTATCCCTCCACATGTCATTGGCTGCCCAGTCGACCCTGTCCCCACCAACAGAAGGCATCACTGATAAAAGGCTTTCTGTAAGCCCGTTCTAAGTAGTGAATTGCTTCGCTCCTCCCGTCCGATGCTAGGTTCGCCATCACTTTCGACTTTTTCACCTTCCTCCACAATATTCGTGACTCGCAGAACCTCCGCTTTTAATGTTTCATAGGGTGCCGCCTCAGAATCACGTTTGAGATACAAATGGTGGCATAATCTCGAAACATCGGGTGGTAATCGTGACCATATTATATTAAAGCGCTCGATTTCACTTTGTATGCCACCTAGACGAAACTGTGCTTCAGCTTGGCGAAACCAACCCGGAACGTCGTTATTCCAAAATTGGGGAAGGACTACTCCTGCTTTTCCCATTTTTGGGATGTCAAGCTGACCCTTGATTCTGGCAGCCTATTGATCCTTCATCTAGATGACCTTGAATTTCAAGAAGCATGTGCTAGATCGTGGTCGAGTATTTTTCGTGCTTTAGTTGACTCTGCATGTTTGGAAACGTAGGAAATCTGAGGTTTTTAGGTTTCAATAGATCGTAGTCTCGTAACCTAAACTCATTGACGCTTGACGTTAGTTCTCTTTAGACGATCCACTGTCCATCCCACACTTCTTTGCAATCAATTCATTCCTCAGAGAAATGTACCTGTTTTGTGTACTTTGCAGTGCAAACAGAATTGCCCGGTACGATTTTGCTGGAAGCCAAGTAAATATTGTGCTCGACACGACTCGAAGGTGTGAAAGGAAAACCTACTTTTCTTTTTGAGATGCAACCAGAACCAGAAGTCAAGCCTATTACTACACTGCGGTGCAACTCACGACTGCATAATGCCAACCTCATCCTCGAGAGTATTTGCACTTTATTTTGAGTGGGAGAGGGAGAAGCTGCCTCATCCTCCATATTTTTTTCCAGTTAATATTTCCTCCAGGTAATGGCTGCCACCTTTTCTTGTCATCCGCATTAGACAATCATACTATCCCATGTGACCTGGAGTAGAGAGGTGGAGAATAGAAGTGAGATAAATGTAGAGGTGGTTAGGGCTAGTCTCGCAGTTTGCAAGCCTACATTCCCTTGGAAATGATTTTGGACTTTAACTGTGATAACTTTAGCCACTAACTTTTATTCCCATGCTTGCGCAGGACTTTATTCTATCACCTTATAAACAATCAGACGTTTATCTTCAAACCGGGAGTGTTGATTCACCGCAATCTAGAAAGTGTAGTTGTTCCTTATCGTCAGTTGGTGATTAGAAATGTTACTGATGACGGGTACGGGATGGATGAATGGTTTCTGCTGCCAATCTGCTTCATTTTTGTTGAGTATTTGACTTACAGAAAGGGGAACGAATAAGTGAATAGAACCAAGATGAGTTCACGATTGCCGGATGAACGCATGTTGTAGGTGAAATTGGTATATTTCATGCTCTTCATATTAATAGAACAAAGTTGACGGATGGATGAATGGGTGCATTCGTGGTAGACGGAAATGCAGGTCCCGGCTGAATGAATAGATTGAGTTGCAACCGGTTATTAATTCTAGGACGGGTGCTTTCGAGATGAGTGAATGGAAGGAAGGAAGTGAACTGGAGAGATGGATTCAGGATGAGCAAATGAACGAATCCAACATATATCAGTCGTCCTGAGATTGAATGTACAAAGTATGATGGGTGGAATAAATCCTCTTCTCAATTTTCAGAATCGCAGACTTCCTGCTGGATCAAGGGGCATGTCTGGAAGCACGCTCGGGTTGGGGGGACATGACACCCCTCCACCTCGCTGCATACTTCGACTGCCCGCGGGTGGCGCAACTCCTACTGGCACGCGGAGCCGACCCACTGGTCCGTTCGGCGGCCCTTGAAGGCGCCACGCCACTGCACCTCGCTGCGGCGCAGCTCTCTCTCGGTTCCGCGCGCCTCCTCGCTCGATTACCGCTCGCTCTTGCTCCGCGCAACAATGGTCTCGACTCAGATGCCGCCGCCGCCGCCGATTTTGCACCGCTTGACTCACCACTCATGTGCAAGGATGCGCTGGATGCAGCACTTCGAACGCCCTATGGTGAGATTGTTGTCTTCACTTTTTTCTTTTAAGGTGGATGGGTAGATGAAAAGGCATTCAAATGGACTAGCATCCGAATGTATTGATGGTTTGATGAATATACGGTTTGGCGGGCGGACGGGCTGACGGATGAACGGACAGGCAGTAATAACAACTGACAGCTGTATAGATGGGTAATCACTCTCTTCTCCGCCAATTACGAATTAAGTACTGTGGACACCCCCTTCTGGGATGATGGTTCTTGCTATCGTCCCAAGGTGAGCCGACGCAATCCTCTACCTCACCCTTCATGAGACCAAGTAGCTGATTCATTGGTCGTTTGACATTTAAGTGGACCCATTTCTGTCTGCCCATTGACTTCCGCATCTTCCTTAGTCCGATGGCCGGGTTATTGGCAGGGTTGCTTCATCGTGAGCTGATACTTTTATTGCTACCCCTTAACCTTCACGCCTTTATTGTTTTATGTCTCATTTGTGGTATTTTTGGGAGATATTAATTTGGAATGGATGGATTGGTGGTCGCACGGAAAGACGGTTGGGCTGATGAATGGAACACGAATTTTTGATGAATGAGTGGGCAGTTAGTCAGAGATAGACGATTAGTTGCATAGATGGGTGGAAAAAGAAGCAGACGCACCCTCGGACGCTAATTTTGTAAACTTTCCAACTGACCGTAAACATTCTTTCGATGTTACTGTTGTCAGGGGATTCACATTGCTCTGACCGCTTCGATTCTTCTTTTGTTTCCTTGATGAAACGTTGTTATTTGTTTAAAGTACATGTGCAATGATGCGACGCCCCAAATCCTGCCCTTTTTGTAAAAACGTTCACACAAACCACACAACTCTCCACTGCTATTAGACAGCGTACGCTAACCCCTTGGAAGTACGGATGTTTATTTTCGTAAATAATTGTGTCTACAACTGTCACGACACGGTTTGACTGTCGTGAGTTTTCCTAGTAGTTCGCTTATACGTTGACCACGCATCCAGGGTTAAAAGTTCAACGCATTGAATTGAACTTTTAGAGGAATACTTGCTGCATTGTGAGATGAAAGCTACTAAGTTTGGGTTTGTCATTAATTTTACAGATCTACGGCCGTCTTTTAAAATGTTTCCACCACTCAATCTACAATCTTATTGTGGATGAGATTTTCACCACTGTACCCTGCCATTGAAGTCCTCTGTACGGGTAGATAAGCATGGATTTCGGTTTGACCGCGTGTATGAATAGGTTATTCTTTGCGATCGGTTTTCGTTAATGCTATTAATAAAATAAGTCTTCCACTAACTTGTCCAAAATAGTTTATCTCATTGGATTATTTTAAAGATTACTTTTTGTTTGTTCTTGATCACTTAAATAGACTGTCTCCCGCCAGCAGGGGAGTTACCCGAACCCCTCTCCAGCATGCGTGATCGATTAGCCGAACTGTTGGGTCCCGCTGTTGATAGAAAAACCAAACTAAAGGTGGGTTTTACTCTTTCCTTCACTACGTTCTACTTACTTATCAGTAGCATTGTGTGCTCTGAACAAGTGGCTCACTTTATAGTTGGGGTGCTAAATGCTATTTTACACTTATGCCTTCAATAAAATTAACCTTGCAAGTTAGTTTTATATTGCTCCCTTTCTTCTCTCACTTCGTGCTGCTCCTTTTTCCTCTATTATATCAGTAGGCCTTGGCTCTACTATAAGATTTATAAGGCAGTTTCGAAAGCATACTTTCACCGCAGATGTAAAAATGGGGGTAAATAATACTTTACCATGGCAGGTTGTTAAGTTGCTATTTCTTACTTGAAGCTGGCAGCAAAACCGTCATCTAGCTTCCATAAAAGGGGAAGGCTAGTGTTTTGTCGTACTCATTACTGTAGGCAGATGTTGGTGTGCCAGTAGCAAAAATTCACATTTTTGACATGCTAAATATGGAGACAAAGCTCTTATCCTCTTATTTGTGTGGCTAAATCAGAGCACCCCAACTGCCTGATCAGGTTTACGAGAATAAAATAGTTGAAAGGGCAACAAGCGTAACCGTTGGTTCTCATAGGTGGTCGCACCTGGCGAAGGTGCAGCAGAATGCAACGTCACTTGAGAAAAAAAACCCTACTTGACTTAATCTATCTGATATAGTGAAAGGACTCAAGTTGTGTTGCTGCTTGTATTCTATCCAGCTGGATTTTCTGGGCGCAGGCTGCACTGCCTCGTCAGGTTACCGCGTGTTGCCAACAGCAACACAGCACCTGCTTCAGGGTTATTTGGGTAGCGAGATCCACTCGCCCACACCCCAGCGCTCTCGTTCCACTGTAAGTCCAATAACGGGCGACCTGCTTGCTCCAAATCGGTCTAGGAGTCCTGGGGGTTCTCTGCTTCTTGGCCTCCTTGCGCCGGCATGCAGTGCCACTGAAGTTGCCGCTCCTATGCCTGGTAAGTTCCATCTAAGAACTAGGATTGTTGACCCCGAAACGTTCCCATTTTTTCAGCCGAAACGGGAGTCCTATCGCCTCGAAGACCACGTAGGGCGACTGTTGCATCCACGGAACCGAATACCCCCTTTGCATCACCGGCGCGGACTCGTGGATTGAATATTTCACCGCCTCCGCCGCCTCCTCCTCTATCACTGACAGTTTCTTCCGCCACCGTTACCCCCGTCAATCACTCCCTTCCCTCCACCTCTACTGTGTCTGCCAAGGTCACATTACGCGCAATGGGACTGGCTTTGGGCGACCGAGTTTGTGTTGGACCTGGTGGCGGTAGTAGTGAGGCGTCAGCAAAATTTTCCGCTACAGCAGCTGCCACTAGTGGGCGAATGGGTCGACTGAGGTACTGTGGACCGGTGGAATTCGCATCTGGGGTATGGGTCGGCATTGAATTGGATGAGGCTTATGGAAAAGACAATGGCTCGGTCAATGGGGTGAGTTTGAGCGTGTCTGCCTGATGGAAGAGATGCTTGCTCGTTAGTGGCGTTTATAACTGGATCACATGAGTAGCTGAATTGTAGACTAATGCTGGGTTCTGCCTAGTCCGATCCAATTTTGTACCGATCATTTAAGAGCTTGTAGTCGGTATACCTCAACTCCGTGAGGTAGAAACAAGTATTGCCGATTTTAGTGGGTCCATATTGACGTCCTCTTTTTAGAATTTACCCTCTCGGTACTACAAAGGGTTGGTTTATGCTCTACACTAATCGCAACTCTTATGACAGTCGACGTTTATGCAACCGCTTTCAAAGACAGTGTTTGCTATTCATTCCTGCCACCTTTCATTTTAATGCTGTCCAGTGATCCATCTGGATTCCTCACATCTTCATTTGAAACAGACGTCTTCGAGATTGGAGTAGACATGACTTCTATGATATATATCGTATCTTCTCATACTCCTTTATTCTGTGACATAAAAAGGGAAGGGGGGGAGGGGGGAGGCATCCAGGCGACGAAATCGCGCCCGTTGTCTTTTCAAATGGGGTTTGCTTACTGCTCCCACAAGCGCAGTGCCATTTCTGAGGACACAATAGAACATGACAGCAATGTGATTTATTGCTAACACTTGGGTATTGAGTTAATACTTCGGATATGTACTGTATTTATTTATTTTCTAGGTATCCTACTTTGAATGCGCCCCCAACCACGGTATTTTTGCACCTATCGGTCGAGTGTACAAGGTCAGTCGGACAAATGGACAGATCCGTCCCTGTTTTGTGGAGGCCAACGGGAGGCGTTCCACTCCGACGCCGTTGCAAAATATCCCTGTTGATGTCTCCCATGTTAGTGCCAAAGTCGACACTGGTTAGTGTTCATTCCCCTCCTACTTGTCGTCTTTTAAAGTTACGATCCCGTTGCCATGTCTGAGTCACTCTTGAAGGCTCGCGACTCTGGAAGGCACATAGATGGAATAAGTCGAGCTTTTCAGCTGTCGTCTCTTACGGCTGATGCAAATTTCGCAACATTTTACCCTATTTTACTTTTGCCTGGAGTAAAAGATGTTTAAAGTGGAGCTGAAACTAGCACAGTTCCTATAGGCAACGAATTTTGTGCCTTAATTGCAGTTATGCAGAGTATATACTTATCGAAATTGATTTAACTTGAGAGGTCTTTTGAGCTCCTCAGTATGCGTTATTCTCCTTCTTTTTACTTCTACTGCCTAGTTGTTTATCTAGTGTGCTCTTGACTCTGTCGGCGTTTGGAGCTTGTCTGACCGTCAGACTCCACCGAAGGCTTGTCAAAACATTTAAATGAACGGATTTTTATTCTTCCGTTCAGGTTTGCACAAGCCGTCCGCAACAGAGGATTTTAAAATTGGCGACAGAGTTCTGGTTGCGGGTCTTCGACGTGGAACCATCCGTTATGTCGGTGAAACACAATTTGCACCTGGTAGGCGGCGGATGTCTTTCCTCAGCAGTGTCTCTTTTCACGTGTTTTTCTATTCTGTCGCTGATATTGTATTTAACTAGCAATGTATGAGTAAGATGGAGTTACCCAATTTTAAAATTTTCGTCTAGTTTTTAAACAAACCATCGTTTCATTGCATACATCATGATGCGTGTGGTGATAGACATTGCCGAAGGCATTTGTTAGTAGAGATGAAAAATAATTTCAATAATTTTAAATGGAAGTATCATTTGCCTCCTCTGTAGGCATTTGGTACGGCGTGGAGTTGTCCAAGGCCGTGGGAAAAAACGATGGCTCTGTGGAAGGTGTTCGTTACTTCACATGCGAATCGAAACACGGTGTTTTCGCACCAGCCCTGCGTCTACAGAGGTAGGCCTGTTTTCCTTTGTGTCATGGATAAGTGGGTAGCTTTGAGATACATAATAAACACGGGCATTTCCCCTGACAAGTAAGTCAGCAAACGGTCCGGAAATGGCACGTTTTTGTAGCACGCACGAAAAAAGTGACCGGGAAATTGAGGGTCTTTGCAGCTTGCTGTCATCCATTAATACATCTGCTACCCATTCACATACACGGGTAGATGAATTTTCTTGCATAGTCGGGATACAATGTACCCACCTCTGGACCAATAATTACGGCCTCAGATTATTCGGCCATCTACGCTTTGGAACGGGATTAAGCTTGGTTTCGTAAAACAGACAAGCCTAATTTAAATTAGGCCTAAAATGGTAGAATTTACGATGAGAGGGAACTGGTGCAGACCAATTGTGGGTACCGCACTGATAAGTTTACGCATTGTTATCCTCTATACGGTGGCCATAAATGGTCGAGCGTTCTACAGGTCACTTCAGGTTACAACGAACTCATCATATTAAGGCATATCGAAAACCTCACGAACCTGTTTGATAATCTGATGCAGGTGCATTCTAAGTGTTATGCGCTTGATGAGAGGCCTCTGAGGCTTTGAAAAGGATCGGATTAAGCTCGGCTCGTAGAGCGTGCACTTTGGATCACGACAGGTTCGTTGAATCACCACCTTTATGCCACGATGGTTGAAGGTAGGGGGAAAATAACGAAACACAGTGGAGGGTGTTGCACCGATAAGGTCCCGCATGCCTTGTACAGGTGCCGCCATTGTACAAGTCATCGGGTGCGAGGCGTATCGGAATTGATGCAATAGGAGATCGCTTTAGGTCCTTCAGCTTGGTTTCAGCTCGCTTTGTCTCATCCCTTCATTCATCTGTGTCTACTTCATCCAAGCCTGATCGTCTTTAGAATTTACAAAAGGGGTTGTTTTGACAGCGCTAGATCTCAGAGTGTACTTGTCTTCTGTCCAACTTATGTAATTTACCTTAGAGTCATCAAATTCCTGTTGCGATTCATTACTATGTCTGGGATCTATCTATCTCAAATCTGATTCATCCATCTACCCAGTTCCGTTGAATTCATCCACTAATTCATTACCTAATCAAGTGGAAATAAAAAAGTATCAGCACATTCTCTGAGTTTCTTCCTTCGTTTTAATCGCAGACTTCCACCACGCAATCGATCCTCGGATCTTGCCAGCAACAACGATATGAGCCAGTCTGTGCATGCGGACTTTCTGCCCGACTGCCAGCGTCGCCATCCTGTAACCCCGGAGTGTACACGCCGGTCCGACCTCGTCTTTGGTGACAACTACGCATCTCTGGGACGTCCACGACCTTCCACCGCTTCTGTGAGGGCCTTAACTGCTACCAAAGGTGGTCGTGGATGGACCTCAAGTGCTGCCGAGGAATTTTATTTGCAGGTTGGCATGCAGGTGCTATGCACGGGAGAACTTGGTAGGTGGCCTTTGTTGTGATTGCCCCTCCCAATTCAACTATGCTTCTAGTTATTGAATTTGGGGTTGATGTTCTTTGGAAACGATTTGATACCTAACAACACAAAAAGTTCAGAATCCGCCTTATTATCAAAGGACTGGGTTGATTGGCTAGAACTTACGTCAGCACTATGCAGTCGAAATCAATGGAGACTGGTACAATACATCCTGTTGTTTTCATGTCCCCTTCTTGATCCTTTCAGGAACCCTTCGCTACATCGGGCCCGTAGACTTTACTGACGGCTTATGGTTAGGCGTGGAGCTACGCGGACCGCATGGTCGACATGATGGTGCGGTTGCGGGCCGCCGCTACTTTAACTGTGCCCCCAATCACGGTGTTTTGGTGCGACCTTCACGGGTGACCTTCAGGGGTATCAATGCGGCCAAACTATTGCCCCCGGGCATGGTGACGACCTTCGAAAAGCCTCACAACAAGGCAATGGATACGAGGTCTATCCAAAGTCATCCATGATTCCTCTTTCTCCCTCTGCAATTTCATCCCTCTGATGCATTTTTCTGCTTTTCTTTACTCCAATTCTCTTTTGGTGTTAATTTAGTGCGATAAAACCAATCGTGAGAGTTTGGTTGTATATTTTCCATCTTGGTAGTCTCTCTTCCCCCCTTAGTTTGTGAACTTCATTCTATTAGTTTGATCTTTGATTCTTGTTTAAATCAACTTTTTTTTTCTCATTCTGTACTTATGCTTCTGTCATTGCATTTATTTAACGAATTAAATATTCTTCCCTGAGGGTTCTTGCAATCCTTGACCTTCTAAATGGGCCTTTTTGGAAAGTCTTTCTTACGGCTATGAGGATTTGGGATGTATTGGTAGAGCAATTGTAGTAAGTGTGATTCTTTGATGGCGTTTGATTGCACGGACACTTAAGCCTTCGCGGTTTGTACATCCACTCGGCGGTACGGCTTCAGGGTCATGCCATTAGCTTTTTAGTCCTTTTGTGTGTCAGTAGTCTATTTTCTGCCACACTACCAGGACTTTCTACTGTAATACACTAAGTTTTTGTCCAGCTCTAGGTTTCGGTACTGGATCACTTGGGGGCTCCACCATTGTCCGTCTGCCCTACTGTACGGTGGCAATGCACATTCTAGCCGAGGACTATCTTTCGGCTTCAGGGGAGTCTCAGGGCGCTTAACCCACGACTATGGGAAAGATTCTGGGAGCATCAATGAGATTTTTTGCGTTGGACAAAGTATAGATGGATTGCTCTATTAATAAACAAGAATAGGCTATGAAAGAGGCCACAAAAAACAATTTGACATTTGCCAATCTGTAAGGAGATTTTAGAATACAGTCTTTACTAAGTGTTGAGGCCGGATTTCTTCAAACCTGTAAGGCCCGTATGAATCTATCATGCATAAACAGAAGATTTGCGATAGTTTATCTGGTATCTGTGACGTTATTGTACAAGGGTTAAATTATATTTCCCTGCATTGAATAAATAATTAGTGTCTCTTATTAGCTATAAATTAGTGTAAAACACATCAAAAGGGTATTTTCGCGAGTCCTTATTGTAAAATTGTATAAAAGCGGTCCCATTTTTTAAAATGATTAAACGACATTATTTCATTTTTACTACCTGCTACTACAAAATGCAAAACCAAAAACCTCCAAAGCAACTAAAATAATCTCTTTTAAAAAAGGATTTCAAGAAAAAAGTGCAAGATGATGTCATGTATTTAAAATGATTGGCTGTATCAGGGCCGTAACTCTACGCATTTCAAATTGCGGCCTTCCCTTTATTGGTTTGTTTGGGGAATGTCAAAATCAGTAGTAGAAGTAAATGTAACGTGCAATCATTGCAAATAGGATTTTAGATGTTTATTACCACACGTTTTTAATCTTATTAATAGTAGTATCGGTGTTGGCGTCCTTGCGATGCCTTTTTGCTTTCACGAAGTATGTGGGCATTATTTTATTAATCTTACTTTAGTGTGGAGTTGTATTGATGATCATAGCCTTATTACTTATGACCCTTGCAACGTATCATTCTTGCATTCTGACAATCAAATCAATTAACCATTTCCGATGCGACTCTCTCGAGCGTGCAGGTTCGTTTCATTTGTCGACCTAACACTCTATACTCCAGCTTATAAGTCTCATGGCACCTTTGGCAAACGCTTAGTTGAATTATGGTAAGGCTGAACTACTTTTTCTGGTGAAAATAACACTTTAGTTTAATTGGCTTGCTTTTTGGGATGATAGTTGGACTCAATGTGGCAATCAGTGATTTGGGTAGCGAAGTCCTTTCTACTGTTTCCAGTTTGAAGGTCTGTGATATATCGTTGCTTCATCTTGTCATTTTTAGGCTAATGCTACTATCAGGCGTTGCGTTTTGCTGTTCGCCACAGTTCTTGTTACTCCTTTTTGCTTTTTTCGGCGCGTGGATTTTCTTAGTGCTACCAGCTCGGTAGCAGTCATTATTTACAGTATCTTTCTTTTAGATGTACGTTTTGCTTAATTGACTGATTCACAATAACGTTATAATCCTTATTCATGTGCTTAATTCATTTAGCTGATGTTAGCCTATGCAGTTCCGAAAGTCTTGTCCAAGCACTTCTCCTTGGAGTATTTCCGTTTTTGGCGACCGGAAGGCTTGGTGCGTTGTGTGCCCATTATCGCGAGCTCTCTCTGTTGCCAGGTGTAAGCTGCGCCTCAAATTGGCCTTCAAATACCCAATAGGTGGTGTCCACTACTTATGTCGTTATCTCATCCATTTTCAGTCAAGTGAGTACAATCTACACGAGTTTAAAGAATCCCCCTCTTGTCATCATGAAAAAAGTCCTAATCCACGCCCTCTCCTTCATTTTCATCTACTACTCTGTGGTAAGTTGATTTATTAATATTACTTTAGCATTCAAATTACCGATGCAGCTTAGAATTTGAACATTGCCATCCATTCATATGTGACAAACCGTTTGACTATCATCTAGGGCATAATACCTTATCCTACTTGAGCAGCGGATTGCAACAGTTGCTTTCCGATGGCATATTCCATCATATGCAGACATTTTTTGGAAGTAGAACCAAACGCCATTTGTGATTCTCAAAAGTGTTTGTCTATGGAAATGTGTAAGCTGTTTCCTGTGCGTTTTATATTTACCCATCGTCACATTTGACCTTTCTTACTCCTTTCATTTGTTATCAGCTCACCTCGTCTCTATTCCTTCAACAAGAACAACAAACTAACAACACAACTTTGGAAATTCAAGATACTAACACTTAGATATTATTGGCTGAAAAAAAAGAATGAATAACCTCGAAAAGGCTTTAGGATCGCGATTTGTTGCCTGGACGTACTATGTAAATTGAAAATGGCTGTAATGTATAAATAATTGTATCAAAGAGGAAGTAGCAAAGTCCCCTCATATGGTGAATGTTTTGGATGCAAACAACCCTGTTACCATCCCTGTTTGATAAGTTAGCGCTCGTAGAATCACTTAAAGGTGGGTTGGAATGCTCAGAGATGACGAATGCAGATTTCCCTGGAGGTCCAGCAGGCCATAACCACGCTTGTGCAAATGAGAAAAGAAAAAGGGAATAACACAGTGATCTCAGGCAATCGGACTTTACTTCCAACCTCCTATTTCCCCTTAGGCTGGTCTGATGGGCTACATAGCATTTTACCATGGTTTGAACGAGACATTACCCGGTGACATGCTGGCCAGTTACCCCGAGGACCACCGAGCAGTTCACATCCGTTTGGGCTTTCTCTACACAGTCGCTGCTTCTCTTCCCCTTCTCCTCTTTCCTTTGCGCACTGCCTTGCACAGTCTGCTATTCGAGGAGGCTGTGGTGAGTGTCCTTTTTTAGGCTTTGTCCTCACCCCTTCCTGCGGTATCACTTGACTGCATTGACTGTCACCATCACTACTGAGTCAGAGACTGCGAGAGCGTATATGTTTCTTAACCTCGGTGATGTATCACGTCAATTTTGATAGATTCTGAATGTTTTAATGCTAGATTAAAAGAACCCTTGTTCTCTCACATCGCTTCCTCTCTCCTCATGTTTGTAGGTTGAAGAAGGACCTCTCCATGCGGACGCCTCCCCGACTATTCCAAACATGCGATTTTGCTGGCTAACTGGCGGTGTCATATTCCTGTCAGTCGTTGCCAGTCAAACTACTGACAAGGGTGCGTGCCATTGCTTCTTAAAGATGTTTATTCTAGCAAAATTGGTGGTAATTCGTAATGCGCACCGAGAGGTGCTCACGTAATCCTGGTCTTACCTCGTATTCCTGAAAAAGTTCTTCCATTATCCCAAAAGTGCTTCACGATTTTGTTTCATGGGAGGATAATTCTTTAGAAATACCTTAGGCTTAGAGGTCAACAAATAAATTCCTAACATACCGTATGCTCCAGATTCCTGTAAGCACGTAATAGACCAAAAGAGTAGTAATTCATCGTGTCTTAGCCTGACACATTACTAGTGCCGTTGAAGAAGATAGCAGTCCTCAGGTGAAAATATCTTTGAAAATTCCTATCTAGTGACTTAAATGATTCGTCAAGTTTTCGGTATAGCCCACTGCAGTAAACTTTTTGTGACTTCTGAAACTTGTGAAATTCATGTCGCAAACGCGCATTAACATCGGTATATCAATGCTTGGTGTAATTCAAAGTGAGGGCTCCCGAACTGAATTTGATGCGATGGCTTTCGAAGCCTTTGAAGCTTTACATTGAATGCGTAGCGCCTGGAAAAGTGCGGCTGCAAAGCCTACCTCCTAGTTTGATTCGGGTGGTGGGTCATTCCAAGGTAGATGCATCACTTCCAAGAATACCCTCCCCTGGTGGCAGTGGAATTTTGTTGCTCTGCGCTCTGGTCGCCGAAATAATTCGTGACTACTGCATGGAGAATTTCACTGAAGGCAGTGTTTAGCATGAGTGATGCAACAATTTGCTTACTCACTAATCCACTAGGAAAGTGGTGATGGAGGCGAGGCAACTGGGTGACGCACACATCAAGGGTGACTTTTCACCTCTTTCACGCTTCTGCGGCAGGCATCACTTCATCGCCAAAGGATTATGCCAATCTTCAGTGTGGAGGCTAACGTTTTATGCAGCATTTCTTGGTGAAGGCCAAGCAATAATTGCGGCTGAGATCTTGACCTTGTACCGAGTGTACAAGAGAAACTTCGTTTTTTGCCTTAGAAATTGTGAATCAGCTGGAGGAAAGTCCTATTTCTACTAGTAAACGCAAAAACGCACATTTTTGCGAAATTTACTGGTAGAGTGATGTAAACCCTCTCCGTGATCCCCTTCTGATGTCTCCTTAAGTGGTGATGGTCGGCTTTTCTTAGCCGAGTGGAGGTGACTAGAGGCGAAAGTTTTGATAAAAGTAGAATTACTGGCAAATTTGTCTTGTCCGTGGTCTTCTTCCCCTGCAAAGAAGATCACGCAGACTTGTTTGCCTGTCTTTTTGCCTGTTCCGCATATTTACCCTTGATATTGTGTATTGCCGACATTATGTCTTGGTGGTACATATCCATCCCCGCGGTCGGAAGTGCGTGGCTTAGAAACTACTTTTCCCCTGTGATTTGAATAGAATAGGGTGATGGCTTCAAAGTACAGTGCATAGAACTTATTTTTTGAAAACAGTGGCACTGACACCGCACAAGTAAGAGTTTCGTTTCCATAAGGAGAGGAGATGGTAGGAATTAGGAGTTACTTACCCCTGGAGCGGTTGCTCCCGCCTGATGTAATGTTTTTGGTGGAAAAGTTGATGGCAGAATCAGTGTGATCAAAGCATTGCTGCCAAATTTTGTCACTCTATTGTATCTGCAGATCACATTCCATGTATTTGATTTCACTATTGCATCCACCTAAGTAAATGTCCAGTAGGGTCGGTGCCAAAATAAACCATTTACCTGGCAAAAGTGGAAATACCAGCGATGCCTGGCTTTGCACCACTCAAACCTGGACGTTCAATGTGCAAGTCACTGTCTACAGAAACACTTACCCCCCTGTCACTTGGTTCTCCTTTCGATACCGCTCAGACGTCTGGTGAGATTCCATTCAGGTGTTCTTTGATATTTGACATTTTCCAAATCATTCAAGTCCGACTGGAAGGCTATTTCGCCGAACGGTAATACAAACCACGGAGACTGAGGAGGTGTCTGTGTGTTTAAGCATGGGATTAAAAAAATGCCAAACTCCTATAGTTCTGGGGGATTAATAGAGGTGGATGCGGTCTCGCTGGCTCACCTCTCCCAAGTGGTTTCTGTTGTAGCTCTTCTTCTGTAACCTTTTGACACGCTCTCAAACCACAAATATTTGTGGTTGACAATCTTTAGAAAATCTCACTAGTCACGGCCACTACCGTCTAGGCAAGATTTGACAAGATAAGGCTGTAAGAACCCCCTTGCTCTCAAACTTTTCACAGTATTTTGCATTTTTTCGGCTCAGTGGAGGTGATACTGACCTACACGGGCGGATTTGCGGGTGGAGCAAGCTGTTACCTCCTCCCAGCCCTCATCGGGGCGCGTGCGGTTGGCGGAGGTTCAGACGGTCGGCGAAGACAGCTGGCAAGGAAGCTGATCATTCATCTCCTCTATTTTCTCGGTGCTATGGTCCTCCTAAGCCCCGCTCTCACTTTTCTCGGCGTGGACACTTGACTTGCGGTTTGTCAGTCCCCTCTCCTCTCCTTAATAAACGGATATGATCGGACTGGTTTTGCCGCCACTAAAGACATCTTTTTTTCCTCCAGCCTCCTTGAGACCCATGCAGTTACTAAAATTTGAGCCTTATTATTAATAATTTATTTTCGCTGATTGACTCCTCCAGTATTCAGCTCACTCGTTAGAGTGAACTTGATGGAATCCGTGGTCGCGCACATACACGGCAATTTTTAAGGGAGACTGCTTAGGTGAGCTTGGTTTTGTTGTTGAACCACTGAAAGATAAGTGCGTTACATTCAAGAAGCCTCCAGGCGAATGCGTCAAGAAATCTGCCAAAAGTGATGCTTAACGTGGCTGACGAAACGGTTCCTTAATTGGGACAGTTGTGTAGTGTAAGGGCTGTCAGGCACGTTGCTAACTGGGGAGAAGCCCATTCTTCACAAGATAACACAATGAGATGGAGAGAGGGGCACCGCCCAATCTCCCTTACTCCCCTTCTTCATAGCTCTGCAAGCGTTGATTGGTACTTTTCTCGGCACCTGCCAAGCGCGTGTGGAAGAGAATGACCAGCTGGGAGGTAGGAGTTAAGTAGAAATGAAGTTCGCCAGATCAGGTCACTTCGCTCAAAGGCACGACAGTGGAATTTCCAAGCTTTCGCCTTGTTGGAAAAGGATTGGTTGCTTTCCAGCTGGCTCCCTGCAGTTATTTAACCTTCAATACTAAGGGACCCAACATTCTGCGAATTCAAAAGCGAACTCAAGCCACGTTTGATCTGATCAGATATGTAGCTTACAGAATAACAGAATCGTTCCCTTGATGTGTAGTAAAACAGTAATGCACAACTTCCCATCAAACTTAATGCCAGCGTATTTACCTTCCTCATTCAGCCATTCTACAAGTTCAGACTCTTCTAGCATATCAAAAGTCAGCCCTTCGTTTCACTCAACGGAACCTTACCTCCATAATCTCTTGTGCTCATGGCACATATGTTCCACTCAACACTGTTTCCATCTAGTTTCATTTAAGGATGAGTTTTGCGGCTTTTCACTCCAGAAGGGCTGGTAATCCCAAACCCAAACACAGACAATCATTCTCCCCAAGTCCGAGGAATTTTACGAAGACACAACAGAAGGGGTAAGTGAAGGCCTCAAGTGGGTGGCTTGAAAACACGGACAATACCAATGTGGACAAACTTCCACCATGGCGCTCTAGGTAAAGTGAGAACGACCATGGTACTTACATCTAGTAAGTAGTAAAAGGGTCGACAAGAATAGGGCCTCTAAGGTGGACACGCTTATGAGTAGAATTAGGCAAAAAATTCATCAGTACACTTTATACTATTATAATTTTGCCAAAATTTGCACCAATACATTTTCTTGCTTGGTACACTATTGATATACAAAGACAATTCACAAGGAGCTATTCGAAGGACGGATTGGAGACTACGCCGAGTCGGCTCCTAAAAGAAGAAAGGAGATGTAAGTCCGTTAAGCCTATTAACGTTACTCGCCTGGATGCATTCGCTGAAGGTGAATTTTGAGGGAGGAGGACTGCCCGAAGGCTTTATTGCAGTGGGCGCACACATGTGGACGCACTTTTTGATGCACAACTCGATCGTGGCGCCGAAGGGAGGTGACACTAGAGAAGAGCCTCTCACACTCGTTGCAGTAATTGATCACTCCATCTTTAAAGAGAAAGAAATACCAATTCTTATTATATATCAGGCCATATGGGTTTTTAGTGTCAGCAGATGTCGATCGCCACAACACTATGTCACCCCCGATGACACTTCTCTAGCCTTTCTACATGCCTGTAATACAATTCGGCTTGAACTGGAAAGAACCCAGATACCACATTAACGGAAATGTACAAAAATCCCAGTTCAACCCGATGATTAAAAAACATGAACGTGACAAAAGGGGGAAGCGGATACGGACGGGCAGAATAGCAAAGACTATTGACAGAAGGTATTGAAGCTACGTCCACATTTGATGATCTCCTTGTTCTGCAATAGGGGAATCAACAATTAAGGTAACGCAAAATTTGAACGAATTAAAAAGTTTCCATGCAATAGTTACAAAATATGCAGACTATGTGAAGAAAGAACACCATTGACAAGCCTGTAGTAACCAAATGGAACCAGATAGAAAGCTTGGTAGCACTGAAGTAGGAACAAGGTGGAAGGAGAAATGAGTACAGGACATGGGCTTTGCGGACCAACGTTTCGTATTTTGCTGAACGCTCTTACAAATGCTGGTTGGCATATACAACGCAGCATCAGAGCAGACTCACCGTTGGATAGTACAAAGCTGTTGAGACCACGCAATGCAGTTCATAATCAAGACACTATAGATCAATCCGTTGAAATCTACAAACCGCATCACCACCATTGGAATAGAAAGTCAATTCACAGTCATTAAAAATCACCCCATAATCTACGCCCCTGTTTCTAACAAATTCTAACATAATTAGGTGATAAGTGAACAGCAATATTGTTCTAATTCTATAAGCAGTAGGACTTTCATTCCTAGGGTTCTGGTCACCTAATTCAGCATGGATACAATAACCCTACATCAAAAAACAGGCCTTACTACTTGGTAAGAAAGAAGCAAAGGGATTCACCTCCATGATTAAGACTGAAGTGGGCATCAAGAAGCTTTTTCGATGAGAAGTTCATTAGACATTCACGGCACTTCAGGGGAACTAAAACTTCAGTGTGGCTAGAGCAAAGTACCATCATGAAACTCCATAAGATGCCGATCAAGCTGATTTTGCAATCCAAATGTCTTGTAGCAAAAATTGCAGGTGAGTTCCTCTAAACAAATTAGTAAATGAACACCTGAAGCGGTAAAATGCACGGACAAACCTCCGTGAACTCGCTGCACATGACGTTTTAGGTAGCGTTCTTCTCTAAATGAATTCCCACACAATTCACACAAAACAAATGCAGACTTGTTTTCATTCTCTAAACAAAAAATATACAATGTTTAGTCAAAACAGGAGATTTAAAATCGACATTAAAGTGTTTGACACAACATCCCTGAAGCAGACTTGTTAACAACCTGAGGAGTGTACTTTTCACTTGAGCAGTCAGTTATGAAAGCCAATGGGTGGTTGGAATCTAAAAATAAGAAAAACAACAAATATTAATTACAGTGCAAAATAAACAAGAAAGAGAACGGAACACATAAGTAACGGACCCTCAAAAAGGGACTGGCGGTAATCATCAATCATCGCACTCCAAACGCAATCGATTATTTCGTTTGAAGGCAAGGTTTCGGATAGAATAATATCGAGCAAAGGCATTTAACTCTCTAAAAACAAAGCAACCTCCAAACCCAAAAACACGAAGGCGAAACCAAATGTCCCGCACAAAGGCCGACTCAGCTTAAAACTTGCTGATATTTGCTGGTTGGCGTTAGCAAAATTTGGGCAAAATTATATCATCACAAGGTAAAAATAAATATAGGGCAACAAATAGTTTTATAATTTTGCATTTTTTGCTGAATTAGCTGTCACTATTTCAGATCATTTATTTCAAATTTGAGTTTTACGATTTGCAATTAAGGCCTCCTGAAGTTGTAAGGTATCACAGCGGTATAGCTTTTCTAAAACCTCTCTATTGACGTATGAAAGAGCTAGGTGGCTACAGTATTATACCTCAGAGGCCAAGCCACTCGGAGGAGGTACAGATTCGGAGCCTTAACTGCCCTTGAAAGCGAAGTGTTAATCTTGCAACGATTGCGTTGTAGCAGTATGTTAAAAAGTACTTCGCAAAGGTATTGAGGAGGTATTTGGCTGTTGACACGGCCCAAGGCCATATCGTGGAGCAGAAGTATAATCTGCGGAGGTATGTGTACCTACGTAGTCATACGAAGGGTGTAACAAACTATTGCAGCATTACATGCCATTGTAAATAAATGCGCTAAAGTACCTTAAAATTGTTACATGCTGTGAATTTTCGGACACATCCGGCATACTTCCTTAGGGAGCTTAACATTTCTTAACGGATCAAATCATTGTATCAAAAACGTGCTTTTCCATTATCACGCTAAGTAAATATCTAAGTGGTATTGGAATGCTCTTTAAGGAGTTTCACGTGGGTTAAGTCTAGTCTGTACTTCACTCGTTTAAAAATTTTTACCTTACTTTCTCGTGTATGCATATAACATTCGAAAAGCTGGCAAAAATCGGCTTAAATAACAATTTTCACAATTTCGACTTTCATGCCACATCGTCAAACCATACGTGACGATGGAGGAATTAGTATATGCTTTTTCCAAAACAACTATTTTAAACGAGCACTGTGGTTTTCTATGCTCTGCACGATGTCCCAACCGCCATTATATTTGTTTTCCATCACAACAAAAACCCTTCGTAATGTACACACAGGTTCATCATCTGAAATTAATACACGAAGGAAAAAGTTCTTAACATCCACAAAAATTAGAGATCTGAAACAAACCCATTTCCTTCTTTCCCCTTTAAGTTTTCATTCCGTTTGGGTATTTGAACTTTGAGGAAGTCCATGCAATACTACTTGTTGCGCAAAATACTTCCTCATATTACCATTCCAACATTCGGCGTTCCTCTTTTTTAGCATTGTGCGTGTGTATTGTTCTAAATTCCCAAAATCAGCTGCCGCTGTGTCCACACCTGCAAAAAAATTTGTCGATTGATAGTAAAATACGGCTACCTTTAACCTCTGGAAACTTAATGTTGATTTTTGGGCCAAAAATTACGTAGCTATGGAGTTTAATAGTAACACAGAGGTTTATTTGTTGTGCTCCGATCAATTTAACCTACTCTAATGGGAGAAGATGTGACATGACCTCGATGATTCGGTGGAGACTGACACGCCTCCCAGATCCCTAGCATCAGGATCGGCTTGGCGCCACACTTTTCTAAAGACGCCAACGAATAAAGAATGAACCTATCCAACTAATTGCATTAAATGTTTTATTGTACACAATCTGTCTTTACAATAGAACTGATGCGAATACAGCCCCATTTCCTTTCGAGATGACTGCAATAAATTCGCTCATTCGCTCGATTTAGATCCTCTGACCAAGAAGAGTGGTTGGAGGAAGGCATTTAATGCTTTGTAGTATGGTGGATGAAGGTAGGTATACGAATTCTGAAAGTATTATGGGGATCAGTGCTTGTCAACATCGTGGGAGCCGGTGACGTCTGCTTAACTACGGAATTAATGCAACCCGACCGCTCACCACCTAGCGTGTCTATTCAAATAAATACGCTTTGCAGTGGCACACCCACAAGTGAAAGCTGATATAACTTAAATTGACAAGTTGTGAAATCCGACCTATGTAAATATCTCAGCGAAAATTTGGAACACCGGCTTGAAAAACCGATTTACTCTATCTGCTTATTTCATCGTGGGGCGACAGGATTAAAGCTATTTACTTGAGCACTTTGAGATGTATTTTAAAAACTGAAACCCAGATGATTAGCTACATGTTTTAAATTTCACCCCATCGCCTGAAATCTGCATTCTCCGCGGTATGTGCCTCCACATTGGCGGCGTGACCGCAAGTCCAAGCCTGTATATCTTCAGATGCCATAACAACTTTGAAGAAGATGCGGGTTGCTGTATGTCAAAAATGCACTTTTGTTTTCTACAAATTTATTTTTCAACATTCTATTTTAAACAGTCTTACCCGCAACCTTTTCTCCGTTCCGTGCTGAAAATGCTAGTAGTTGTCCAATTAGGTAGCGTTTTGAATGTCTATAGACTTACCGAATAAATTTTTCCAAAAAATCGAGTGTACACACCCACTTCTTTGTTGAAGGTCTTGCACCAAGGCTTTAGCTTTCACTTTTCCCTCTTAATTGATAAGTCAGTCACTACGATGGTTACTTCCTAAAGCGCAATCTCGCCATTCTATCTGCGCAGATGGTACAGAACACTCAAAGTGTTTAGCAAAGTTGTATGTACTTATTCAATTATTCGTTTGTCTATTCGATTATTCCAGCGCGAAGAATGCCGTCTGTGGAAGGCAAATAAAAGGGGAAAGGGCGTATTTACAGTCTTTACGCATTGTAAAATATTGGGAAGGGATATTTGGTCTAGTACAGTGCACTGATTGCACAGCCTCTAACGATTCTCCAAGGTGTTGTAAAGGAGTAGAAACACAACGAATGATTGGTTTTGTGCTGATTGCTACAGCAACCCAAAGATTGTTGATTCTCATCGAAAGTGATGCAGTGCTTCAACTAGGATGGCGAAAAAGAGATCTAAGAGCACGATTTGACCAGGACCGATGGAAGCATCGATGAATTGCTGATGTAGCACGTTAATTACCAGTGTTACCTATTTCTGGCACTCTGATGTACTTACCCACATAGACGTGTGAAACACATTTAATCAAAGTATGTGGTTAGATCGGAAGGAAGAAGAAGAACAAAAGGACATTTACTGTCAGATCATGTAACATACACGTTAAAAATTAGGCGTTGAGTTGGCAAAGCAGCCTAAAGTTCCTGAGAATATGTTCTACTATTTCTTCTTTTTGCAAAAATTACTAACCGCCCTCTAAATGAGAACAAATTTGCAAAATTTAAGGGTTTTAAGGCAATCTAATTGAATATTTTCAGCCCAAATATAGTGCTTCCCAAATAAAAAGAAGTACTTTTTGAAACATCGATTTTTAGTTCTTACCTACATGTAACTTGCACAAAACAGAGGGATATCGGATGAACTTTTCAAAAATTGAACTTTTGATATGATTGCCAAAAACAAAAACGAGTAAGTTGTATATTTGTTAAGGTATAAGAAAAATCAATCTCGCCTTCCAGAACTACTTTTATTGAGTACAAAGAGTGTGAAAATGACACACAAGCACAAATGTTCGAATAAACAAACACTTAACATTAGAAAATTGTCAACGCAGCCTAAACCAGTTTAAAATTTATCTGCATAGGAGATCTTCCGCCATTCTCTTTAGAGGTCCCAAGACTACGAATGAACTCTTTGGCATCACAGGGTTTTCTTAGGCACACTCGATTAGCTACCCGGACAGAAAGAAATTTGATATCCTAAAAACAGTTAAAAATGCTATTAAAACACAAAAACCAACGAATTTTTACGAAAAAATCAAAGTAATTACTTTGCAAGCATCGAACAAATCTTCGACGAAATCCTCCTCTAATTCAACAGTCATGCTCACTGCAGAGTTATCCGAATCCGGTACAATATCATAAATAACTTCATCTTGATCTTTGCGGCAATGGAATTTGCAGAACATTTCCTTCATCAATTTGAAGCACTTGCTGTGTCTAAACAGAATACAAAATAAAAAAATCCAAAAAATTTTGCAGCAACTAATATTTAAAGTTTAATTACAAGATGTAGGACTTGGTATTGCCTTACATACTTGCCAAAATAGAAGCCAACTTTCTTTAAACCCTTTTTAACCAGTTCGATTTGTTCAGTTGTACAGCATCCTTCTTTGCCTTCTGAAAATTTTGAACAGTAAGAAGCAACTTCATCGGATATTTTCACCGTAGAAACATGCCCTGGAAAGCAAACATGCTGAGTTGATTTGCCGCAGACTCCCTGTAGGACGCAGGAAGCCTTAGTAGAAGCAATCATCATCAAGAAGATCGTGCCAAAAACTAAGCCTTTTAACATCATGGACCTAAAAGTATACGCAGCTTTAATGAGCGTCTTTCTACAATTTATCCAAGTAAAGAAGACAAAATTTAGACATAAAAAAATTGTTAGGTGGGTGGAAATAACCACAAAGTTCAATATATAAACATATTACAATGCATTACTAACCATACCGCTATAAATGTCAAAACAGAAAAAAAAATATCAAGCATAAAAATTTTATTGCTTAAACAAAAAGGTAGTGCAATTTAGAGAGAAGATGCTACCCTGCACGACTGTAAAGGTTTCCAATGCGGTACGCGAAGCACACCCAAGACTTCAAGAATGTGGGTGCAAGCAGAAATGCGGGTTCGATACATCCAAACATTTCGAAGGCCATCCAGTCATCTGATGAAACTAAAACCAGCAACTTTACAAAATTAATTTTTTGATACACTGCTTAGGGTAAAATTTTAAGCGTTTTTACTTAAAAATAACCTTGTGGTGCCAGTTCTTTTCAGCTTTTATTTTTTGAACACTTGAGCTGCATTAACACTCATTTTAGCAAACTAACTTTATTTTGCAGTTCCGCAACTCCACTACCTAAATAACATTTTTTGTATTGCTAAATTTGTTGATTTAGCTTATTGACGACTTATTAATATTGCAAAAGTGAGATCGAATACAGCTGTAGCGTCCCGGGACTCCCTGAGGACGAAAGACGACAAAGCACTCAGGCAGAACATATTATCAGCGCAGAAAATGTGTATAGCTATTGACATGGCTCAAAAGGCCAGCCCACCCAGCGAGGTACAAGGGGGCAAACTCAAAGTGCAAAAGTGGCGCCTCACCAATGCCGAGGGACAAACCACTATCGTATTACATAGCCTCCCTCCACTTTTGAGCATCGTCCCCAGCGCTCCCACATGTCAACCTCCCGCGTCAGCCATTACAACGTAATCGGTGCGGTAAAGAAACACCCGCGAGCCGACCGTGCCCGTCACCAAATTAGCGCGCAACTGAGGGGGTACTTGACCTCAACGTCGCTGATCCCTCTTGACGGCTTGGCTGGACCAGAAGTTTCGTTCGATTTAGGGATTTGATTCAGGATGTTAGGGGAAATCCGATACGAAACTTCCAGATGGTTCACGACCAGTGTCGCTTCAGTTGTTAATGGCTTTTCTGCAGAACACGGGACTGGGAGAGATGCCGAAGGTGGACGTCAGCTTCAACCCTTCTGTTAGGGGTCATCACTATTCTCCCATCCGTAGCATATGCACTTATTCTGCTCCACCGAGGTTTATCACGCAAAAGTGGAACATCAGGATACATGGCCTTTAAGATTGGGTTCGCTTTCCGCTGCCACTAATGTAGCGTTCCGGGACTCCCTGAAGAC